ATAGAGTATAAACTGAAGGAAGAAGATATTTAGGAGGTTAGGTTAGGTTAGGTTAGGTTTGGTTAGGTTAGGTGACGTGGCAGTTTGTTGTTGTGTGTTGAGACTGTGAACTATAGAGCAAGGATAAAAGATAGTGTTTGTTTTGCTCACCAGATGGCAGTGTTTTACCTCCCCCCCCCTCCCTCCGTGTTGGCAGCGTTAGTATCAGGAGCAAAAGTAACAGCAGAAGTAGCACCAGTAGCAGAGGCAGTACAAGTAGCAGAAGCAGCAGCACTAGCAGCAGGAACAGCAGCACCATCAGCAGTAGAAACATCAGGGCAACATGTCTGCTTGGCCAGATGGCAGCAGAGCAGCAGTAGCACAGCAGCAGCAGCAGGCTCTGTTAACTACAGCAGCACAGCACCACCATGGCTCTGCTACAGCAGTTACTCATCCTGGAAATGTAGGGTTGTGTATGACTGATGTGGCTCTGACACTGTGCCTGCCGTGACCTGGCCCTACACACCACTCTCCCCCCACTACTCCTCCTCTCTACCACATGGCTCTGTTAACTACACATGGCTCTGTTAACTACACCTGGCTCTGTTAACTACACCTGGCTCTGTTAACTACACATGGCTCTGTTAACTACACCTGGTTCTTTACTACACCTGGCTCTGTTAATTACACATGGCTCTGTTAACTACACCTGGCTCTGTTAACTACACCTGGTTCTTTACTACACCTGGCTCTGTTAACTACACATGGCTCTGTTAACTACACCTGGTTCTTTACTACACCTGGCTCTGTTAACTACACCTGGCTCTGTTAACTACACCTGCCATTCATCTGTACCATAATAGTATAAATATGTTTCTTTTGTATATATCATTAATAACTTCAATGTCTGTTTGCTCTCTACTCTAAGCTGTCCAATATATACAAGGGACACTGTACTGTACCTGTTGAACCGAATCCCTTTATGTTTATCGCATTATTAGCAACACTTCCTGGATAACTTGTAAGGGTTCTGGGGTTAGGTCAGGTCTGGTCAGGTCACACAATCAGGAGATCTTGGTGAAAGTCTTAAAATTACAAACTTTTTTTTTCCAAGTGCCAAATTTATAAGATCGAAAATGTATGGAAATGGGATATGAATGATGATACGTGAATGGGACTCAGGTAAGGTTAGTAAATGTATATGTATTATAACCTATGAAATTATTATGTATCCTGTAATTTATTCTGTCGAGAGATAAAATACATTAAGATACATTACCTACCACTTGAAGGAAAGTCTGTCTGTCTGTCTGTCTGTCTCTTTCTCTGCCCTGCACCAGCCAACACACAGCAATACTTTTTATTTTTTTATACACGAAAAATAGTCAACATTCACACAATATCTGCCTCCCCTCTCAGATTATGTCAGATTGCGAACTACCAGTATTTATCTAACCAACTTTTTACGCCTTCATTCCCCGTTGCTTATACGAATCTGTTCCCGGATCTTGTTGTAGTGTTTTGTTTTTCACTGTTTACAAGGAGAAATTTGTTGAAGTAGGCCAGGCAAGCTCTCTCTCTCTCTCTCTCTCTCTCTCTCTTTCTCTCTTTCTTTATTATTTTAGGGCGCATATTTCCTCTCCAGTTATATATGTGTCAGAGGGAAGGAGGCAGATATGTCCAGGAAATATCGTCAACAAGAATTTTATTTCGTTTTAGTTTATTATCTTTTATAAATTCCCGTATTGTTAGTCTTTTGTTTTTCCGTCTTTTTGTTTTTAGTATCCATTTTTATTTTGTTTTTTATTATTTATTTTTTTCGTAATTCTTTTGTTTTCTTTTATGAAGTATTTTTTTTTAATCAAGGGTCACATTTATTCATTTGTTTTGTTATTATTGTGTTATTAACTCGTTTGTCTTTTGTTAATTATTTCGTCTATTGTATTCCTTATAGGTTATTGCATCTATATTTTCTCTCCTCTTCACCTTGCTTTGTTGTTATTATTGTTATTATTGTTATTATTATTACTATCATCATTATTATTTCACAGTAACGCCCTTATAGATTGGGGAAGCTTAATTTTAAATGTTATAGCAATTGTGACCAGGTGTGTGTGTGTGTGTGTGTGTGTGTGTGTGTGTGTGTGTGTGTAGAGGAACAAGTCACGATCATGGAGGCATTGAGTTGGGGTGGAGGGGGTAAAGAAAGTAGAGAAGAAGGAAGAGAAGGAAGAAGGAGGAGGAGGAGAAAGAGGAAGATGGGGTGGAGAGGAAAGAAGGAGAGGAAGGGAAAAGAAGAAAGGAGGAGAGTAGACGAGAATAAGGAAGAGGAGGAGGTGAAGGGAGAAGAGACAGCTGGGAGGAGGAGGAGGAGGAACGATAACCCTGCAAGTTCTCTCACAGATGACGTCATTTATAAACAAAGATACACTGAAAAAAAATGGCGAAGTTGATCAAGGGATGAAGTGGGTGATGACCTGACCATCCCACTCACTCCCTCCCACTTACTCCCTCCCACTCACCCCTCCATCTCCCTCTTATCCTCTCCCTACCCCTTTACTTCTCTCCTCCCTCCCTTCTCTTACCTCTCCCTCCCTCCCTCCTTCCCTCTCCTCCCTCTTACCCTCCCCTCCCTCCTCTTCCCTCTCCCTTACCTCTCCTCCCTCCCTCCCTCTCTACCTCCCTCCCTCCTCTACTCTTCTCCCCTCCCTCCCTTCTCTTACCTCTCCCTCCCTCCCCTCTTAACCTCTCCCCCCTCCCTCCATCTTACCTCTCCTCCTCCCCCTCCTTCTCTTTACCTCCCCTCCTCCTCTAACCTCTCCCCCCCCTCCCTCTTACCTCCCCCTCCTCCCTTCTTCTACACTTCCTCCCTCCCTCCCTCTAACCTCTCCCCCCTCCCTCCCTCTTACCTCTCCCCTCCTCCTTCTCTACACTTCCTCCCTCCTCCCTCTTCTAACTCCGCTCTCCAGTCTCACAGGTAAAATAGAGACTGGATAAACCATCATTAGTCAGTGAGCCGTGACCTCTGTTGGTAATCTTCTGCATTTAAGGTCATGATCCCAAGACTATCACTATGACCCCATGTGACCCCCCCCACACTGACCTGACCTCCTCCCCCTTTTCAACACGGCCCATAATGACCCCCATCACCACCATCGCCGCCCGCACCGCCCACAACCCCCTCTGTTAGCCGCTTTCGTGATTATACAGGGTGAAGCAAAAGCCTGAGACACCATACGAATAACTGGTTTTTATTTGTGTTCGTTTTAGATGAAGTGTTGGTGATGGGTTGGTGATGGGGTGGTGATGGGTTGGTGATGGGGTGGTGATGGGTTGGTGATGGGGTGGTGCTGTGTTGGTGCTGTGTTGGTGATGGGTTGGTGATGGGTTGGTGATGGGGTGGTGCTGTGTTGGTGATGGGATGGTGCTGTGTTGGTGATGGGATGGTGATGGGGTGGATAAGTGTTGGTTAGTGGTTGGTTACGTTTTAGTGAAGTATTGTTGAAATGTTGGTTAGTGAAGATACAATGTAGAAGAAAAAGGTGAATTTGTATTTATAAAGTTACCTTACTAAAGAGACGCCCAACGACCACACTTACATTATAAAAGAATATATTCAGCTCTCACCTGCAGCCTCTTCATAACCCTTCACCTACCTCACCTTACCTGGCTCACCTGAGGAATCTCCACCACAACTTATTTCACCTGAAGATTAACCACCATAATGCTATTTGGGGGGGTGAGGTTAGGGTAGATTTGGTTAGGTTAGGGTATATTTGGTTAGGTTAGGGTAGATTGGGTTAGGTTAGGGTATATTTGGTTAGGTTAGGGTAGGTTAGAGTGTTTAAATCTTTGGGTTAGATTAGGTTAGGTTGGGGTGGTTAATCTTTAGGTGAAACATACTAGGCTCGAGATTCTTCAGGTAATCATTTAATTAACCTGAAGGACAGACCACAACACCTGGACACCACACCTGAGCTATGTCCTCGTGAATACAACAACAACAACAGACAGACGGGGGTTATTATTATGCATCTACTGTTCCTTTGTTGTGATAACCTTGTGATAATCGCATTAGGTTATTACAAGAGCCAGACGCCGCTGTTAGATTGTTATCATAGTTGTAAGTTGTAACCGACGGACTTTTTTCTTATATACAATGGAGGTAAAAAACTGGATTTCACTTCCTTCGGTATTATTTATTTGTGAGGTGTTACTTGGTGAACGTTAGGTGATACTTGGTGAACGTTAGGTGATACTTGGTGAACGTTAGGTGATACTTGGTGAACGTCAGAAGGCGATACTTGGTGAATGTTAGGTGATACTTGGTGAACGTTAGGTGATTCTTGTGAACGTTAGGAAGCGATATTTGGTGAACGTCAGGAGGCGATACTTGGTGAATGTTAGGTGATACTTGGTGAACGTTAGGTGATTCTTGTGAACGTTAGGAGGCGATATTTGGTGAACGTCAGGAGGCGATACTTGGTGAACGTTAGGCGATGTTACTTGGTGAACGTCCGGCGATACTTGGTGAACGTTAGGCGATACTTGATGAACGTAAGCTTGTACTCGTATGATCATATTTTTATTAATTAATTCACAAATAAATTAAAACTTGTTCTGTGTTACGTAATGGAACGTGTTGGCGAATGAAGGTCACACCACACGTTCCTCTGGCGTTACTGTGGTGGGTGAGGGTGGTAGTGTAGTGGTGGTGTGGTGGGTGAGTGTTGATGTGGTAGTGTGGTGGATGAGAGTTGTGGTGGTGGTGTGGTTGGGTGAATACTGTGGTAATGGTGTGGCTGGGTGAGAGTTGTGGTAATGGTGTGGCTGGGATAAGAGTACAGTAGTAGTCATCATAGTTTTATCAATACAGTCGACAGTTTCAATTTATTTTATTATTATTTTTTTCTAAGCACCTCACAGGTAAATAGTTTGATAACATTGACTTAATTAATATTGAAAGTATAATTTTTACCTTTTATTAATAATTTATCTCATTGCATATTTTATTTTTCCAGGTAAAACGAGTGAAGACTTTGTTGTGACTATAAGAGGCTGTGATTGGTGCTTCATCCTGCTGGGTTAAAGGTACGTTGCTATGGTCCAGGTGTCTGTTGGTCTCTCAGAAGAAAACAAGGGATCGTTCAGGGATAATGACTATAATTCCCCCTTATTACAAGTGGATAATTGTCTTCACTTACCACTCCTTGTTATCATTTATTAAGGTTTATTTTACATTTTATTTTATTTATTTTATTTTTTATTTTTTATTGGTTGAAACAGTATTTACAAAGTGATGACTGAATTATTACATATCACATTTTAAAGATTTACTCGAGAGCTCCATGGGTGAGAGGGGTGTAAGCGTCATATTATGCAGCAAGTATTACCCCCTTCCCCCCTACCCCCCTACCCCCTTCCCCCTTCCCCTGGACCATTGTGCTAAGGCGCTGGAACATAAATATGGATGTTCTAAGTCGTTGGCGTTTCAATGAGTTTAGGGGCATTACAGTGCTAGTCTCTAAAACCCTATTGGGACCAAACTGATATCCACGCCTTACACCCCCTCCCCCCCCCTCTTCCACCCCGACCCTCCTTATGCTCTAACTATTCTACAAGAGAAATAATTGTAGACATATACGGTGGTAACACTTGGAATTCCGAAATATTTGTCTACGATCATTCCACGGTGACATTGTGATCCCATCTGGGCCTTTGCCAAATCCATTGAGTCTGAAGATGTGCAGAGTTCCCTGTGTGTTGGTTGGTGGTAGTGGTGGTGGTGGTGGTAGTGGTGGTAGTGGTAGTAGTGGTGGTGAGGCATTTCTTGATGATGTCATTAAGTTCATTGTACCTTTGCTTGCCATCCCCCCTCCCCCCCTCCACAGTACCTACAGCTGAGGGCATGGAAGCCAAGTTGGTTTGCTTTACTCATTGTCACAAAGAAACTCACATTTATTATGGATTAGAGTGTTAAGGAAATGATATATATGAGTATTTATATAATGGAAACCGCTTATTCACTTGACACAAATTGATTTTTTAGCCAACAATCAAAATTTCGGCTGATTGATGAAATTTTCCGCCAATACACTGAACTTTCACTGATACCCTGAAACCGTATCCCGATAAGAGGTAAGGCTGTAGTAGTGTAGAGGCGATAAAGACCAGAAGGTGTAGTGATGTGTGGAGGTGTAGAGAGTGTTAGAACGCCATGTGAGAGGTTGTTTGACCATGACCTGTGTCTCAAGCATTAGTTTATTGTCTCGAAAAAGAAGTTAGGTCATTCTGGGCTAAAAACACAGCCCACCTGCCAACCTCACTCCAAGTATTTAACATGTATAGGTAACCCAGGCCTTAAGATACACACACACACTAACCCTCCCTCCCCTTCCCTCCCACACACACACACACACTAACCCTCCCTCCCCTCCCCTTCCCTCCCACACACACACACACCTAACCCCTCCTCCCCTTCCCTCCCACACACACACTAACCCTCCCTCCCCTTCCCTCCCACACACACACACTAACCCTCCCTCCCCTTCCCTCCCTTCACCTTCCTGGTAGGGGTTGATAATGGAATGCTCATCATTACCACTATAATGACGACTTATAATGCACCTCACACACCCACCAGGCGACAGTGATCAGAGGAAAATTAAAGCACTGGGAGAAGAAAAAATATGTGATTGAATTAGCATTACATTTTGAGTTTGTGAACGCAGCTCTCGTAGTCTATTGCGTGTGATAACTGCGTGACTGGTGTTTAAACGTCGCTAATATAACCACCACCACCACCACTGCCGTTGTTTGTTTGTTTGTTTGTTTGTTGTTGTTTAGAGATTTTTAAGGAGCCGTCAACGATAAAGTTATTTTGGTTGCCATAACTGTCAACAGAAGCGTTCATTATGATTACTACTGGTTGTCTGTGTGCCTCCTCTCTCTCTCTCTCTCTGCCTTCCTCCCCTCCTCCCCTCACATCGCTATGGACACTCGCTGTAAAGTTCAATAATAAAATAAATCAGTAAATAATTATACAGATTAAAGATTAGATACGGAAGAAAAATAAAAAATATTAGACGAAGAAGACGAAGAGTAGAAAGAAGAAGAAGAAGAAGAAGAAGAAGAAGAAGAAGAAGAAGAAGAAGAAGAAGAAGAAAACCACTAGGGCGATATTATTCATCTTGTTGTAGAGCAATGAACAGAATAAATGAATTTTGTTTTTGTTAGTTTTTGCGTTTAATATTCTGGTGGGTGGCGCGTGGACCCGATAATCGTAAGTATCTTGTGGACGCGGCCGCTACACTTGAGGTCTCTACACACGACCAAGGTGCACTATTGATTATTCATGATCTACCTACCTAGTTAACTGTGTATCTGAGGCTGTTTTATGCTTCCAGGAGCTTAAAGGTAAAGAGATTGGTGTTTCCTAACCTTTTACCTACAAGCTGATTTTTAGAGACATTCCCCTCCTTACCCCCAAACACGTTTCTCACAAGGTAGAATGATAAATAATGGAATGATGAGATTTTTGTGGAGGGAGGTGGGGACATTCCTCTGGTCGACGTCACCACCACAAATCATGGTGGCTGGTGGTGTGGTGTTCGTGCATGGTGTGGCTATTAAGACACACCACGATGTATGTCCTCTCCATGACCCACCGAGGCGCCCCCCCCGCCTCCTCCTCTCCTCTCCCTCTTCTCCCCTCCCCACTCCCCCTCTCTACCCCACACAGTCTCTCACTCCCCTAACACAGACACACATATTACACAGCTGGGTGTTGCTGCTCAGGAGGCATGATGTATGGTTTCCTCAGCGCTGTGTAGTGGGAGTCAGCCTCCTTAGTGTTGTGTGCTGGGATTCTGGGAGGCAAGAATCTCCAGTTATGAGGCAGGAGTAAGGCTACCCCAGGTGTGAGGCAGGTGTCAGTCTACCCCAGGTGTGAGGCAGGTGTCAGTCTACCCCAGGTGTGAGGCAGGTGTCAGTCTACCCCAGGTGTGAGGCAGGTGTCAGTCTACCCCAGGTGTGAGGCAGGTGTCAGTCTACCCCAGGTGCTAATGTATTTATTTTTGTATTCGTTGTGGTAGTACAATAATGTTACAAAAGAAAGGAAATGTCAATAATTAATTATGTGTGTTGAACTATAATGAAAATAGGTGTAGGGATGGAGGTGGTGGTGAGAATGAGTCATATGAAAGGGGATCATTTCGTTCCAAATTGCTAGTTAATAAAGTGACCCAATCTTTCCCCCACCGTTAATAATTGTAGATAAAGACACGTACATTCTTGTGTGGTAACTGTGAACTGTGAGTACTGTATTATGTTATCTTTCCGTCTGTGTGGTAGTCGCTATATACTGATGAAAATTTCCCGCTAATCTGCCATTTTTCTCTTGAGTTGACGATCCTCGGACTGGTTCACGGACCTTGTGTGGCCTTCAAGTATGACCACGAGTATAGTTCCTGGTGTGATTTGGTGATTTTTCGAGATCTTTAAGGCGGCAATCACGTAGTTTTATGACGGTAAGACTATAGACTTTGTTATTTTCGGTGCCCCCGTAAGGTATGCAACGTTCTCCTCTCCCGGTTTTCCTCCCCCAGCACCGATATAAGCTGCTGTTTGGTGTACCTGTAGTGCATAATCTCTAAAGTGGGATTGGGAAGAAGAGTGATAAACAACTATACGTCAGGGCTCCAGGGATTAGTATCTGAGCTCTTGATTTACAGCACGCAGTTTGTATTGTCTGTTGTATTCAGGGGTCTGGAGGTGACACAAGTGACAGGGTGTGGTGTAGGTGGTACAGGGAGGGGTGGAGGTGACAGGGTGTGGTGTAGGTGGTACAGGGAGGGGTGGAGGTGAAAGGGTGTGGTGGATGTGGTACAGGGAGGGTGGAGGTGACAGGATGTAGTGGATGTGGTACAGGGAAGGTGGAGGTGACAGAAGTAACAGGAGGTAATGTTCATCGTCAACACAAGAGACAGGAGGAGGTGTGTTAGTCGTCGGCCGTTATGTGGGCGGGTGGTCGTGGTTGTCATGCCATCCACACCAATACCAGCCGTCGTAAATAAGTATTTAAATCGTCCTTTGTGGAGCAGGTGAATGTCAAGGAGCGCCTCACCTGGGCGGGCCGGCGGGGTGAGCTGCGGCGCCATGTATATGCATCTGTAGAAGGATCACAACCACGTTCAGGTCCCCACTTAACCTTGCACGTTTCATCGCCGACAGCACCAGTAATGTTTCCTGCTCACTCGACTCAAATCTGACCAAGAGAGAGCTGGCTGGTGTACTGATCACACCAGCGAGGGACCTAGCTTGTGTACTGGTGTTAGTAAACCAGCATAATGGTGTAAGGGAAGGTTGTGGTGTTGGGGAGAGACCTAGATGGTGTACTGGTGTTACTAAACTGGTTTATGGGTTAATATAGAGTTGTGGGCTAGTTACATATCCTTCTTACCTGCACTAGTTAATTGACCTCACCTGGAGAATTTGATTAATTTTACCTGGACTAGTTAACTAACCTTGCCTGCTTACCTGGACTAGTTGATTAGTATCACCTGGATTAGTTAATTAGCCTTCTTACCTGGACTGGTTAATTAATATCATCAGGACTAGTTAATTATCCTTCGCACCTGGACTAGTTAATTAATATCACCTAGACTAGTTCATTAACCTTACACGCTTACCTTGACTAGTTAATATCACCGGGACAAGTTAATTATCGTCACCTGAACTAGTTAATTAATCTTACATGGATTAGTTAATTGACCTCACCTCCAACACTTAGAGACCTCCTCAGGTGTTGTGCACGTGAGTCACTTTTGACATTACTAATTACTTAAAAGGTAAAATATGAGACCATTAGCTGAGGTCTATTGTATACACCTGAAGATTAGTTTTATTTTGGTAATTAGTTGTTTACCTGTGTACACTCGTTCATGGTATGGCTGTACGAGTATAAAGAAGCGTAACTACTATTAAAGCGTTCATGTCATGGTTCTACGAGTGGCTGGAGATTTAACTACCATTCACTCGTTCATGGCATGGTTCAACGAGTGGCTGGGGACTTTAACTACCATTCACTCGTT